TGGGTAATCAATCTCGTCTGCCGTCCACTACTCGTGCTTAGGCATGTGTAAATATTGAGCAATTATTGCGCAATATGTAGTACAAGTTGTTTTTCATTTTTAAGGGAGATTTAAATGCACTTAATAACATCAAGCCTAGCCGTTTGTGGGACGCAAACAGCCCGTTCTGTCTTACGACACGACCAGCACGAATCGGAGTATCGTAGAACGCGAAGACTACATTATGAAAACTAAAAGTTACAAAGACGAACGGGCAAGAAAAATGTGTTTATTTTGCATTATACACAAGTTGTTATGATCAGTAGAAGGATTGAACNCAATGGGCTATCGTTGGTTTATCGCAACCGGCGACTTAAACCCTTGAACTGCATGTGATCCGCACAGAGTTCGATGTTTGTGCCTCGCTGGAACGCGTAGTTAGCACAGCCTTTTCCTGTAAAATTATCCGAGCTCTATATACCCATGACAGCTAGCAGGCTAATCAATTGTTTAGCCATCAGCCGCCAGTTTGGGAAATCCTATGAGCACGTCCAGTGGTGAACCACATCAGTCCTCAAAAGGATAAATGAACTATTGAATTAGGTGATATCAAAGCTGCTTGTCCCAACGAGGGCAAGATATGGTGGAGTTTAAATGTAGCACTCACTTCAACATCTTGATCGAAATCACTTGCAAAGCTCAACCTAGAATTTCTTTCACTTTTTTCATTTGCGTCGTGAAAAATGTGCCTTATTGTTGGTGTCTGTATATTCTGTGCACCGCCGAAATCAATACAGCTAACCATCATTCGTAGTTCACGGTTGCACACGTTTTCTTAGTGTTATGGGCGGTTAACTGTATGGTTACGGTTGGTTTGCTTTTACATTAGTCAGCTAACTGTTTCATTCAAACGCTGTAGCGCCTCTACTTGACAAGGCTCAACTCGTGTCGCTTAATCGAGTTGGAACTAACATTGCCACTCTGTTTTAGAATGAAATAGCTGCCATTTAACCAACCAACCAACCAAATGTACACAAAAGTACATATCCCCCTAAAGTGTATTATCATATTTTTGTCCAGTATTCGAAAATGCATGCATATCTGTTCTCATTTTGGATTGCTCTACTGACTGAATCGCTTTTGGTTAACGAGGTGAATTGCACATGGATACGTCATCGATATCCGATTCAAAAATCCTGCGTAGTACCAACTATAAGCGGCTTCAATGCGACACATGAGTAATTTTATTTTTTTCACTGGTCCTCATAATTCCTCTTGGTATCATTCTAATTGCGTAATTTACTACCTGTGACCGTTGGAAGCAATGGATGATTTGCTTACATGCATGCGACGCAACCAGCACATACATACACCTATGGAATGCTTTTCCACTGGTTGCAATTTCTTCTGACTGAGCTGAATATTCTCTCAGCGAGTGCATTTTATTCTTAGTGTGTGAAGTATCATTTAAAGCTGGGGCTGTTTTTACTACTTTCGATTTTATCCTCACTGAGAGATGGAGTATGTGGCAATCAAAACAATTGAAATAATCTACTGGAGCAGCTGCTTTGTTCGATAGTGTCCTCGTGCATAGGGACAACTCGTTTAGCTTTGGTCATTTTGAACAATTAACGGCTACCTGCTATCCCTCTACCCGTGAAGTATCTATTGTATGCGAAATCCTGGTCCGTTCCACTGCATAGCCCACTGAAGTAGACGTTTAGAGAGACGTAGAAGTGGACACGTTCGATACACAGCTCTGTCGTAACTAGTGGTACTAGTGTATTTATTTACTCTTGTGGTGAATCCAAATTTCTCATTATATAAAATTTTGTCTTCATTCGTCTGTTTAACCCATATTTTCCCGTTGATCATTGGGATAACCAATAGATGACAACTAAAACTGCACTATGAAAGTGCATGATTGATGGTTGTATAAACTGTAACTGTGATAGTGTCTTCACTTGTGTTCCGTCTGTTCCGTTTATCACTCGTAGGTCGTAGACAACTCGTGTTATGGTTCACTCTAGTCTGTACAAGTCGCGCAATCTAGAAGAGTCCTTTCCACTTGGACTGCTAGACCCAATACTTGCACGGTTTGTTCAACTCAAGGTGACGATCAATGGGACACTTTGTAATGATGACTGCGTTTCCATTTATATCTTTATGTTAAGCTTATTGTGGATGACCCAACCTCATGTACCTCAATGTTTGTATTCAATAAATGCGCGTTCAGTGCGTCTCTCAGTTCTATTGGCAGTGTTGCTGATAGTGCCATTTTTTGCTTTCATGGTACTCCACGTCTGTTCATGCTCGTTATCTAAGTGTCGATATGCCTTCCCTGTATGTGATGCTTCACCCATTGCTCGTAAACTGCTGATTGGTCTCACGTGCCTATTTGCATTCTGCCTTTTTAGGACGGAAGTACTCGGAATATTCTGGCCGGGATCAATTTAAGTGAAGGAATCGATGTGAATGCGGCGGCTGCGGCTGCTGGCGCGGCAGCTGCGGCTGTCGGTGGTCCGGTACCCCTTGATCGTAAGGGTCGTCCGTGCAATTTCCCCTGTCCAGCCTGTCCGCGACGTTTCGCTTTCCAGTGTCGCTTGGCGGCACATTTACGCTGTCACACAAACGTGCGCCCGTTTATTTGCATTGATTGCGGTCGCGCATTCACTCAACGCGGTTATCTAGTCCGACATGCCGCAGTGCACAAGTTGGATCGTCCATTCTCGTGCGAATTGTGCGATCGGTCGTACAAACACTACGGCTCCCTGGTTAATCATCGGCGGACGCATAGCAAGTTAAACGCATCTACTTTGAGCAATATTGCTCTGTTATCCGGGACGGGTTTGGATCATCTGGGGTGTGATGGTGCTACTGGGACCGTGACCGGTCTGTCCAGCCTAGAAGAGGTAGTCGGTGGTGCACTACATCGTACGGATAAAAGCGATGGCACGGATGCTTTGGGTGTGACCTCCACTTCAGCCACAACCATCACCTTACTCCCCGTTACAAAAGTGGAGGAAATACTTCCCGGTGATGTAGGTGGATCTTTGCACCAAGTTTGTTTGCCCTCGGTCGCTTGCCAACCCGGCTCAACGATGGGTAGTGTATTGAGTATGTCAGACGGCCAGCAACAATCACAGCAACATTTGGAATCCGATCAAAATGCACAAAATCATCCCCATGTGCCCCTTTCTCATCAGTTGACGGCAACCGCTGTGTGGCCTATTTTGACCTCCGGAAGTGGTGGGACCAGCGGACTGGGTACCGTAACACAAACACACCCCACCACGGGCCAACTAATTCAATCTAGCCTTGCGCAACCGCAGTCCATGGTTTCCGGGTCCCATTTCTCCACTTTGACGATCTCACCCAGTCAACCGACTACCCATCAGCTGTCTGTAGCCAGCGCGACCGCCCAGCAAGTAAATACGACTGCTGTCAGCTCGGTTTCATCCGTGGGCACACCAGCGTTTGTTACTGTCCCCCTTTTCAGTGGTCAGTCCCAACCCGGTGCAGACACTACAGAAAGCAGTTCAACTACCTTGTCTAATTCGCATTCCCATCACCATCCGTTTCACGGGGCTAGCGCACTTGTGAGCACAAGTGTGGCTACAGGATCTGACACAGGACAACAACAGCAACAACAATCCCATCACCAGAATGCGCCTCAGACTACCGCTCAGCATCCACAAACTACACACCAGACAACAAGTCAACCGCCATCCAGTGATTCGAACACTACGCCGGTTCTACACGTGCTGCAACCGTCACCAAGCATTTTCTTCTCCCCCTATTATTTGCCGCATACGGCCGCCTCACAAATGTAAACCCTGTGGATTGTTCCTGGGGGTGTTGCTTCGCATGTGTTCGCTTGCGCGTTTTTAATCACGAATCACTTGCGGGACTGCTGAACGAACACACGCCTGTTCACACAAACATCTTGCTGATTTCCAAAGTGTGTATACATTCGACTTTATTGTCAGCAGATCCGGTTTACTCCTCCAGCCACTCATGTGGTTACTCCTACACTGTTTCGCTGTTCTCTCGTCATGATCCTTATCACAGTGGTCTGAATACTTATACTGGCTCCACCTCGAGTTCCCGTGTGTTCACTGTCACTCAGCCACTGACCGCATGGATGTGATCTCACTAGACCCACCCCCTTCTCATTCTACTGTATTTAATCACTGTATCACTACTTTCCGAGACTGTCTGTATAAGCAGACCATTGGCATTCATTCATCTCACATTGTATAGCAGAACGCATTTTGTTCCTTCGTCCTCGCCTATCATCACCAGTAATCCTTTTTTGACATACATCCGATTGAATTACAGGGAAACCATTCAGTCCTCAATTTAGGGAGTTGATTTTTACCATTGGTCCCTGTCCCATCCCTACTAGGCAAATGCCGCACTGCCTCTTGTCGTTTATCCATGCCCAATCACGCTCTCTTAAATGAACCTAATTATTTGCCCATTTTTGTTCATTTTGAACCCCTGTCTTGTCTTATACCAATGATCGTGATGACGAAACGCTCAGTTTTTTTAACCGCTTTCTCTTTTTGTTCTCAAGACAAGAGAATGCATTAAGATGTGTTTATCATCAAGTCCGGGGTCACCCGTCCTCTTGGCCCGATCCCCGTGCGCTAGCGATGCTCGCACGATCACTACTACCATACTGCTCGCCTCATCCCACTCACCCGTCTGTTCGTCCGTCCGTCCACCCATTCTATTTCTGTAGAAGGTCCCTCATATGCTTTCTCATCTTGCTTTGTTTTCCACTTGACTTCGATCAGTCGATGGCCATGATGATAACGATGATGACTGTGCTTTTTCATCTACTAACTTCACATCGACCATCTTCACAAAAATGTTTTCCCTTATTTCATTTCTTTACTGTTTCCGACTGCACCGCTTCATATTTCATCTGATCTTTCAGTCAGTCTAGGAGTCAATCGCGTAATGTGTATTATCTTTCCGCCGAGGTCTCAGTGTGTTCACAGATTTGTATTCCCGAGGCTACCCCTCTGTTCCTGAATGTTGGCCTGTCTTCGGATAAACCAAAAGATGGGCATTTTTTTCAAAGCGGTATTTCCTGGCGTTGGTCGACACATCAACACCTTCCCTCTTGTCCTCAAACTAATTTCTGCCCACTCACCTATAGTGCCACNNNNCGACCGTTGGTACCGCCGACAATTGATACTTGCGTTCGATGAGGTCCGGGCGTCTAACTTGATGTTTCTTTTCTCCAAAAGACATCCAATCGGACAACACGAAATTCATCGGATGGGCTGCTCACCGGACTGCCTCGTCTTTGGTTCTCGTCGTCTAGAATTCAGGCTTCCACCCGTGTTTTGTGCGGGCATTCTAACACCCGCCGTTGCATCAGCACAAATCCGTTTCCCATGTATACCTTTGTATGAACTTAACCAACTGAATATCTATACGTTCATGCATACATACGTAACCACCAACACCTAAATATGCGTACGCCTATAAATATGCATATACATATATTTATTCATATAGGCGGAGGTGCGGGCATGAATGTGCGCGTGGCATGCTCTTCTCATCACCCCGGCTCCCGGTCTCTTTCACAACTCCCCGAATCGACCCTCATCTCTTCTTACAAACACGTAACTCGACACTGATGGGGTGCACAACTGCTCCGACAGAAGTGCTTTCATGCAAGTTTTTCCCGTCCCGATCATTGCCCGCACATTCTTTGTGCGTGTATGCGAATGTGCATGTGTTCGATGCCGTTACTCCGGGATCTCAGCTGTCTTTTTTCTAAGTCTCTACTGTGTTCACAAACAAACAGACATCGTCTTCCTCGCCACCCATCTCAAAAATCCTCCATCTCTTGTTCTCTCTGTCTCACTTGCGATCCGACTACGTATGTTCAGCTTGCCGGCCTAGGATGTTGACTATACTATCGAAGACGGCCCATCGGATGAGCCTAGCTGTGCTCAGTCCATTCTCACTCGCGTTCAAGGCAGTTATTTCTCCTTTATTCATTCACTCGCTCGCTCTCTCGCGCTCTATCTCTTTCTGTAAAAAGCATTTTCTTATGTTATAGACAAATATAGTTTTTTCTACATTGTCCAACATGGTGTAATCTTCCGTGGAGGTGTATTCTTGGATTCACTGCTTTCGAATTATCGGGCCTCGAAGGAAATCAAAGACCAAGACCAAGTCGCGATGTGAGCATCGTTATGTAGGTTTCATCAGAATCACTGTAATATACATACGTAAATTTCATATACACCTGTTTCAGCATCTGTTTTGGTGATCCACAGTATGCCACTAGAAATGAGGTTATGGAACAGACAAGTGTGACAGCCTTGTGTAATGTAAATTCGAATTCGAAATGCTTGACAGTATTTTTCCAATCTCAGCCATTCAAATGCTCTTTTACCCGATCTGCAGAACATTGCTGCACAATGTAACGCTTGGGGGCAGAACGATTGACGAGTCCAATGTCCTTTTTGCGCATCATACCACTTGTCAGACAAAGCGAGGACATATTGCTTATGTTTGGGTTGTGAATATTTCAGTAGCCTTGGTGATATTCGAGCCCACATATGAACGCCTACGCTTTGGCTCTACAGAAGGCCGGATGAGCTGCGAGACCATATCGGTATTTTTGATACCTTCACCCTGGTTCACAGAGCCCATCTGTTAGCTTATAAACGGCTTTTTTTACTGAAAAAATCACCAAACCTGAGTTCTGTTACTCAGAAGATAAGTGAAAACCATGGTTTCATGTTGGATTTCGGAGAGAAAAAGGCGATCTACGTTTGATGGGCTGTTCCAGATACTTGTTGATTCAGCATCTCTGAGGCGGTAGTATACCACTTGTTAACTCCATCTTACAGGTCCTCATGCTGGTTTAGATAACCATCATTGACTTAGAAAGTTGAATCGGTCTATTCTATTTCTTTGCTTGTTACGTATTTAGAGCCCTTTCCTAATGATGCAGTCATCCGTGGAAGTTATGGTGATGGTGGTCAGGTGAGTGAGAAATGTGAGAGGTGGTTAGGGTCCAGAGCTATTCTGAAAGGGGAGTCAACACGGTACGCAGTCCAAATGTACATGCACACTGCGAGCACTCTGGTCTGATAAGAAGTGACTACAAGAACAGCACTGCTTGCGGTTCGCTGATATGCCTTTTCAGTATCTCCAATCTGCCTGGAAGACGTCATACACCTACTCTACCATATCAGTCGGTGCATTTCTTCATGCTTCCTCTCCACTTCATCCTTTAATCTCCAAATTATTTCCTTCGGTCCCTGAACGGAAACTGCCAGTAAGGAGCGGCGTGGTGGGCGTGGACGTGTCCTAACGGGCGGTGTCTATTTACTAAGCTCACTTCAATGCGAGAACGAACTCTATTTCGCCGAGCTTGGCAAATTATTTGCAAACGTTTCATCAACAGCCGAGGTAACATCATCAGTGTTTATGCAATGGTCACCTCGGCTGGTGATGACACGTTTGCAAACAAATTGTCAGGCTCGGCGAACAGGCGAAATGGAATTCATTGCTACCGTGCTACCGATTTTCAATAATTTGTCAATAACGAACTCTTCTTTAATGCATTCTCAAACACACAACTTACATCTAGGTTACTGACCCGCTCACTCCGTCGCACCTGATCAGTCTATAAGTACCGACTGTCTCCGGGCGATTAACGTCTCGCAGATCCACGGTCAATCGTAAGCCATAATTGACCGACCGGTGGCACAATATACGCGATCTTTCGCCTTCAGTGATACGTCACGTCTCCGCAGGCGCTTTAGTCCAGCGTACGCCGTCGGAACCTCGGAACGCAGCTCGCATTACCTACTGGAGATGGCATTCGAGTGGAATACTACCCTGAATATTGCGAAGTTTGAAGATAACTTCGTATCCTTATGCAATCGCATTGTGAGTAATCAGTCCTTAGCCAGTCCCGAAGTAGTTCCTATGCTTTATGGAAGTTAATGTAATGAACTCTTGTACGATTTGATCTCGGTCCAATTTCCCATAATTTTCACCTGATTCTGATTACGCGATAGCTGTGTGAATCAAAGTACCAGCTACTCATATAAAGGACCCAGTGCCTTCAGTCATGCTGACTGAATGATGACGTCAGAGCATCAGGATCCTAGAGAATGACCCCGTGTGGATGCTTACTATGATTTGATGTTAGGTTTATGGGTTACATGTCACTATGCACGAATAAACTGGACCGAATTCCCGTTTTAGATTTCGACCCGGTTTCGCGATAATTGGTGCTTCATCACTTATGAATATTTGGTAACCTCGTCTAGTTATTCCCATATATGTATAACTGTATTACTTCACAGTAATGTGGGCCTCAGCTTGAAATCTATCTGATTAAAATGAATATTTATTTTATAAATTATACATGTACATAATATCTAAAGCAAATACTTATTTTAATTACATAATTCCCGGAATAATAATTTATTCTGTATCCTCTTTTTCATACAAAAGGATGTTATATGAAATGTTACTTATTAGCCAGTTGATGAATCACCGAGTATAAGCTTGTTCGATTAACTGCACTCTGATTTAATTAGATAAATTTCGGATGGGGGTCACCATTATTGTTACAACCACCTAGAACACCAGTTTTAATACATGGCGTTTCTTCCTTTTAGTGCCTGTCACCCCCACTGTTAGTGAAGTGATAAGTGGCATATATTGTCCAGTTGGATCCATTTTGTGCTTGGTCATTGTCAGTACGAAATACATTTGACACGGTATCAATCAACTGCATGGGGTAGCCAATGTTTCAACCTACTTTAAGGCTCTGGCGCAC